ATAAACTTTTATTAATAAATTTGGATTTAATCGGCTGTAATTCGGCAGCCGAATAACCCAATTTGGACTAGTGTTTACTTCTTTATATTTCCTAGTAAATGTTTCAAGAATTGTTTCTATAGTTGACACACTACCAAATCTGAAGACTATCAGGCCTTGTGAAGTGTGACTTCTAAATCTTCCAGTAGATACTTCATAGGCTCTTAGTTGGCTTAAGCTGCTAAATCTAGGAGTACAAATACCAAGCAGGGCACAACTCCTATAAAGTGGCCATAGTGGCCTCCAATAGTTACAAGGAATTTTTTCAAAAACTTTTCTATATAATAATAATAACACCTAAAGTTTAATTTAAACTTTTTTAAAACTCAATACAGTAAAAAATACAATAAACAATTTTTAGTTGATGATAAGTGATGAACTCGTTTAACTTGCCAGTTTATTTTTAAGCAATTGAATGGGAACATTAGGTAAATACGAAAGGCTCGTCGTAGTCTTTCTGATATAATTCTTTAGAAATGATCCCTTTTTTTTTTACATTAACGTGACGACATCAGAGGATTTTTTTCATAATTAGTGAAAATATTAAAGAAATTGATTTTTTAAAAATTTGTGTATTCAGAAGATTTTGATATAAGATTTTGAATTATTTTATTCAATAGAATCAAACGAGTCAAGAGAGAATAATGCAAAGAGAAAATAAAAGAAACCATGACAGAGGAAGATAACAATTTTCATGAAGAATTATTAAGTTGTGCAAAATTATTAAATTTATCCGGTGATAGTATGTTTTTAATTATTGATCTTTATTTCACCTTAGCCTTAAAGAATTCAATAGATTCTATACAAGACCCATGTCACAAGTTATGTTGGAAAATTTACAAATACAAAACTATGAAAGCGAATCAATAATAAATGAATCACCATCCGAGACTTCACTGTCGCCATTGGCTGAGATAAAAAATCAAATATCAGAAAACTGGGTACTGAACGAGGTAGAAGAAATAATCAATTTGCTAAAGAAAGTTTTAAATGAAGAAAAAGTCACCGATATTGTTCTTTGCGAAGGTTCATTAAATTCTTGTTAAATCTCTCATTTCATTTTTGCTACTTTTGATTAAGAAACATGTGCACACAAAACTCCTCCGATGAAGGAGGAGTCATTATTTTCAAAGCGCGCGCAGAATGATGGGTTATACCCAATTCCCAGTCTGAAAGATTTATCGCGGCAATTGCCCACCAACGAGATCTCACTAGATCTTTTTTTTGACGACGAGATTGATGTCCTATGGTATGTCATCTATATTTCAACTTAAAGAATAAATGATGTCTAATTATCACGATTTTATCTAGAATCTAATTTTTTTTCTTAAAAATTACACAGCCCACCACACGAAACCCTCTCCCAGGAAATCTCTCCAGAGTCTGATGACTTACAAGACGACGATTTTGAACACATGATTCCTTTAGAAGATTATAAATCTAAGTGATCTTTACTGTATCTTGAAGAACCTGCAATAACTGATAAAATGAATCTAGTTGTTGAAAAAAACATACCGACTAGCATGTCGGATATTATTCCGTTAGTGATGAACGAAGAAGGGATGGAAATAAATATAAAAACCCATAAGGAACAGTTGGTACCTGAAGAAAGTGGAGTTAAAACTCCGTTAGAGATATTAAATGAATGGGTGAGTCGATAAATTTTAGACATGATGTAATCAAAGCATTTACAAGCATGTTTTTTTTTCTGTACAAATTATTATCAAGAAGGTACGAACGAATTACTAACAAATATAGAAGAAATAGATAGTTTTGAGTCCAAAACGTTCGAAGTTTTTGATGAACTAACACCATTTCGAAAAACATTGCGATTAGGTATAATACGACTTTTCGGATTACATAATTAAGCTTGTTGAAATTAATAAATAATACTGGTT